TGTCAAAGCAATCTACAGATTCAGTGCAATCCTTATCAAAACTCCAATGGCATCTTTCACAAAAATGTAACAAATGATCCTAAAATTCATATGGAGTCATGAAAGTGAAAAGTGAAAGTGAAGTCGCTCAGTCATGTCCAACTCTTTGCAACCCCATGGACTGTAGCCTACCAGGCTCCTCTGTCCATGGAGTTTTCCAGGCAAGAGTATTGGAGTGGGTTGCCATTTCATTCTCCAGGGCATATGGAATCATAAATGACCCCAAATAGCCAAAGCAACCTTGAGAAAGAAGAATGAAGCTGGAGGCATTACACTTCCTAGTTTTAAACTATATTACAAAGGTCTAGTAATAAAAACAGACACACAGATTAATGGAACAAAATAGAAAGGAAAAAAAGAAAGATCAGAAATAAACCCATCCGCATATGGTCGGTTAATCTATGACAAAGGAGCCAAGAGTATACAGTGAGGGAAAGGACAGTCCATTTAGTAATGGTTTGGGGAAAATTGAACAACACAAGCAAAAAAAAAAAAAAAAAGAAAGAAAGAAACTTGACCTCTATCTTACATTATACACAAAAATTAACTCAAATTGGGTATAAAGCTTGACTGGACTACCTGAAACCATAAAACTCGAAGAAGACAACACTGGCAGAAGCTCCTTGACACTGGTCTTGGTGATGACTTTTTCTTTCTTTCTCTCTTTGACACCAGAAGCCCAGACAACAAAGGCTAAAATAAACCAGTAAATAAGTAAGTCATAGGAATGTGATGTATAACATGGTGAGATAGTTAATAATGCTGTATTATATATTTGAAAGGAGCTAAGAGAGAACATATCAAAAGTTATCACACACACAATTACAACGATGGTGATGGATGTTAGCTAGACGTATTGCAATAATCATTTCTCTGTGTATACAGGTATTTTAGCCTGGAAGCAATATATTATATATCAGTGATATCACAGTTTTTTTTTAAGAAATCTCCAGAAGTCAGACCACATCACAGTTGTGATGTGACCACAGAGATAGTGAAGTGCATTGTGGGAAGAAACCATTTTGACTTTTTAATGTTTACCAAAATATTTTAAATGAAAAAAGCAGAATTAGAGCATTTTATTATATTTTAAAATTTTCTTTCTATATAGTTTCATGCCAGTGTAGTTTTTTTTTTTAATTTAATTAATTTATTTATTTTTTTTATCACAACCATAGTGTATCTTTTTTTTTTTTTTTTTTACATGTATTCCCCATCCCGGTCCCCCCTCCCACCTCCCTCCCCACCCAATCCCTCTGGGTCTTCCCAGTGCACCAGGCCCGAGCACTTGTCTCATGCACCCAACCTGGGCTGGTGAACTGTTTCACCATGCCAGTGTAGTTTTTTTAAATGAAAGTTATAGACGATGAACAGTGCATATTTAAATCTTTCAATTTCTAAGCTCTCTTAAATTTTGCTACTTGGCAATGGCAGCCATGTCCTGTCATTTGATTTACAATTTCAACAATAAATTTGAAAGTTAAAAGATTTCTTTTATAGATATATATTATCATTAAAATACAGTTAACAAGGTTAACTCTGATTTTTATATTTTAAACGTATTATTATTTAAAAGGTAAGATCTTTACCTAATGGTAACCCAATCCATACCAAAAATTCAGGTATGGAATTTTTTATATAATAAAAATATTCTCTGGCCAAGTTTCTAAGGTATACTATTTGAAGAACTTTTTTCCCCCTCTTTTTAATAACTAAATTGATGTGCTTCTGAACTTTTAAATAAAGTTTTAATTTTAAAATAGTCAATTTACATGGCTATAATATACGATCAGATTTTTTGACATCTTTTGTCTCTTATTCCTTCATCTTTGATACTTTTTGTCTTTTTCACATTCCTTTACTGTAATTTTCATGTTTAAGAAGGAGCCGATGTTTATGCATATACTCCATAGTCCATGTTAACCCAGAAGTCACCACAATACCTTTTTTTTTTTTTTTTACTGTTTTATTGAACATAAATTTCAGCCACTGAAAGCTATATAAAACAAATGTACATCACAGGCAGTTATAAGACAAATGCTCTTACAACTAATACACAGGTCAGGAATGGAACTGCCAGTTACCCAAGAAACTTTTATGGATACCAACCCAGTCACAAGCCTCTTTTCTCCTTCTGAAAGTAAGCAGTTCCTCTTTTATCTTTTATAGTTTATCACTCAAGTACACATCCTTTAAAACGATTGTTTAGTCTTGTCTTTTTTTAAGTCTTGTGTCTTCCATCTATAAGTTCTTTTTCCATTGTTTTTTCCCCACTTTATAATTGTTGAAGATCCCCAGTCATTTAACCTGTAGAGTTTCCAACAGCATGGGTTTTGCTGATTATAGTCTCATGATGTAGATAAGCATGTTTTCTCCCTCCTCTGTATTTCCTGCAAATTAGTAGTCACATATAGAGGCCTGACCAAAGTCTGTTTTACTTGTTTGTTTTTGGCAAGACTGTGGGTGATACTGTGTTCTTTCATCAGGAAGCACAAAATGTCTAGTATCATTCTGTGATGTCAGTAACAGTTGTGATGCTTCAGTTCCCTATATATTAATACATTAGATCATGTAGGGTCTTGCAAAATGGTGATATTCTTGTCTCTCTTTTTGTTTGGTTTATTGGCTGGAATACATCCCCTAATCTGCTCTTTGGTTAGTTATAGTATGTATAGAAAAGGTAGAATAAACATTTGATTCTTCACCTTTTTTAACCAGTTTTGGAAATGAGTTGGCTCTCTTTTGGCTTCTAAATGTGAGTAATTTTTTGTTATTGTGTCATTTTGAACTTTTGAGTTTAAACATATTTGACATGTTTCAATGCATTGTAGTTTTTATCCTTATTAAAGTTCATATTATCTCATATCTGACTGATGAGATCCTTTTCAGACTCCCAGAGTTCTTTTAACATGACAAATTTTATACCTTTTACAGCTTTCTTTCAAGTATAAGAAGGTGTTCTAGGCTCATCTTTTGCATGGATGGGAATTATGAATTTATCCATGAGGATGCTGTGAACCAGTGGTTGTAAACTGGTACCAAGGGGCCAAAAGTAGCCACTAGCCATGTTGTCTTTTTTTTTTTGTCAAAAGAAACAAACATGTCATTGTTCAACAACAACAAAAAATAAAATTGTTTTAACATTTATTTTGTGCCAGATGTTTTACTAGTTTCTGGGAATACGGTGGTTAGTAGAGATAAAGTTGCCCTCAAGGAATTTATTACATTTGTAACATATATAATTTACTATACATACCTGTGTTATAATACAACCTGATGAGGAATACCAAACCAGCCAAACACTACATTAAGTAACCTTGTAGGACCCTAGGATGGTGTGAGAGTCTTAGATGGGACCTAACTCAGGGTTTTGGAGGTCAAAGAAAGATTTGCAAGTAATATATTTTTTAATCTCTTATTTAAAATGTAAGTATTGCAGATGAAGAAAGATAAAGAAAAATTACTCAGGGCAGAGAAGGTGTGTGTGTGTGCACACACACACATGCACACGGTCAGTTGTGTCCAACTCTTTGCAATCCCATGGACTGTAGCCTGCCAGACTCTTCTATCCAAGAGATTTCCCAGGCAAGAAAACTGGAGTGGGTTGCTGTTTCCTCCTCCAGGGAGAGAAGGTATAGATGACCCTGATTTCCCTTAGAAAAGCAATCGACATGTCTGAATTGAATGTATTCTGTTCCGAAGCTTCCAGAAATCTGACCTTGTGTCCAGTCTTTCTGTTACCACTGCCTTTTCTCTTGCCAGAAACATCCACAAGTAATATTTTCTCCACAGAGCCCAAGTTTAAATTGGAATCAAAACATTTCTTTCGTAACCCAAACTGGATGAATTGATATCACTTACTTTTGATTTTTTCCCCCCAAGATGAGTTTTCCAGAATCAACCTTGCTAGTCTATCTTACTTGTTGGCACTAATTATCATAATATTTACCCCTCCACTGAATTGTCTTTTCTAGCTGATACTCATACTTAATTGTGGCATTCTTAATTTTTAAAGATATGATTTTTCAACTTGTCTTGCTTTTTATTCCTTTTTCCATGTCAGAAGAAAACACTAAAATAACTATCTATGACAAAATATAAGGAAACTATAATTATTAGCTTATTATCAATATTGAAACTGATCCTGATGAATTTCATTCTAATGTATTATTTGAGAAAGAATATTGCTCTAACATTTTAGAGCAACATTCTTGGCTTTTTCTCAGCACAAACTTATTTAACACTTTGGTCCATTTTTATTTCCTGAAACAACTGTTTTAGACTGCTAAAGTATAATTTCTGAAAAGGTAATATGATTTTCAGGCAAATATTAAGTAAACATAGGTCAAAGATTTTATTCAATTCACTAATGATAGAACCAGTAAAATGTCAAAATAAATTCAAAGAACATTTGATCTATTTATATATGGGAATGTTAGAATAAGATAGTTGAGTTTGATATAAAACTAATTAGTATCCTGTATATTAAGCTATAACCTATGGGGTTTTTTTCTTTTTTACCAAACAGAAGAATTAATGTGTAATTAGTAAACAGTGAGTCAAACAAAGTACATTCTCCTACTGTTGGTTGACTCTGTGTCCCAAATGACACTTAAAAGACCTGTACATATCTTTTTGTCCTTTTTTCAAGTTTTGAATGATTCTGAATATGATCTAAAAAATTTCTTAGACTAGATTAGAGAATTTTCTTTGGGTCTGAGGATTGTTTGTGAATAATTGATGAAGTAAGCTTTATTTTAGTATACTTTGTAAGTTTTGCATTCCATTGTCAAACAACTGCCTAACAATCTTTAATATTGAGATATTAAATTAATTAATTTTGAGGAGAATAAATCATTTTAAGTAGACATCAAAGAAAGGCAAAGGGAATTTTTGTATGCTTAATAAATTTAAAGTAATTTGCTATGGAATAAACTCCCTGTATTTTTTGTGTCCCCTAGGGTTTTCCTGGAGATATTGGGATTCCTGGACAAAATGGACCTGAAGGAGCAAAGGTAAAGAAAAAAACAGAAAAGAAAGGAAAAAAAAAGAAGAGCATGGTATCTATAGTTTTCTACTCTTAAATCTCCATGAATGAGTAAAAGATACTTTAGAAATATCAGAACATTTCTGGATATTTTTGAGCTGTCTCAAGTGAATTTTAAAAAACCTTTTAGATCTTATTTCAAAATAATCAGGAAGTAGTTTGTATGTCTGGTTGTTTTTTTTGGTGTCACAAGACATACTTCTAGAGTAGAGTATGTTTATACAGTCTGTTGGGTTCAGGTTATTGAAAAATATTTTCCTGGTTTGGTCTAGGCTTAGATTAGGGTGACAGTATTTGCAAAGCACATAAGTAACTGAAAATGGATTTCTTTTAAGAGGTGAAAAAAATTTAAAAAGCCAAAAATCTATAGCATACACAAAATAAGTGAGAGTATTCTGACCACTAGAACCAATAAAGGATTTAGGGCCTGTAAAATATCCACTTATTAAAATAGGAGTTGTAAAATTTATACATAGCACAAACTACCAGAAAAACCTAGTCATTTCTAACTTCCTTTACTATTGCTGTATATATATATACTAGATATTATCCATAGCAAAACTTTAAATACCAAGCTTTCCAAGCAGGCTGACATAGAATGAGCATTGTAAACAAATAAAGCATTGTGAATAAAAAGACAGACTGATGAACCAGCCAGAAGTTTGAAGAACTGGCATGTTATGAAGTATAGCTGCTACAGAAGGTTATTAGTGTGAGTAGAGAGGAAGTGTTGGGGATGAAGCTGGAAAGGATATTAATATAGCTGTATTTGTTAGTGTACTATAGTGGCAGGTCCTAAAGTTCTATAGTAAATGTTTTGCAGACATCTCCTTTAATCTTCACAACAGTTTTATGAGGTAGATATTACCCCTATTTTATATATAGTTATTCTCTCACAGTCACATAGCTTTTCAAGTGACTAAGCCAGGATTCTAATCCAGACATAATTTCAAAGTCTGAGCTCTTAACCACTTAGTTTGGGGATTAAATATATTTAAGACCATGTTGGAGTCTCTCCTTCTTCCACTGGGTATCATGAAGTAATCAATGATTTTTAAGGAGCCAAGCATTGTAGGTGATTCATGTTTTATAAAGATACCTCTTATATTAGCATGGAGGATGGTTTAACATGAAAGAAAATGAAGTCAAAGAGACATGAGCTAGAAAAAGCTGGAAAAGAAGTTATAAAGATCTGAAGTGTAATAGAACATTCATTCAATCAACAAATATTTACTGACTTCCTCTTACATGACATCCATTGTGCTAGACAAGGGCTACAAAAATGAAAAGTCCTGCTCCCTGTTTTCAAGAAACTTATAATCTAGAGGAGTATATGTAGGAAATCCTTTATAATAACCATGTAAATAGATGTGGAAACAGTGGCTGACTTTATTTTTCTGGGCTCCAAAATCACTGCAGATGGTGACTGCAGCCATAAAATTAAAAGATGCTTGCTCCTTGGAAGGAAAGTTATGACCAATCTAGACAGCATATTAAAAAGCGGAGACATTACTTTGCCAACAAAAGTCTGTCTAGTCAAGGCTATGGTTTTTCCAGTGGTCATGTATGGATGTGAGAGTTGGACTATAAAAAAAGCTGAGCACCAAAGAATTGATGCTTTTGAACTGTGGTGTTGGAGAAGACTCTTGAGAGTCCCTTGGACTGCAAGGAGATCCAACCAGTCCATCCTAAAGGAGATCAGTCCTGGGTGTTCATTGGAAGGACTGATGTTGAAGCTGAAACTCCAATACTCTGGCCACCTGATGCGAAAAGTTGACTCATTGGAAAAGACCCTGATGCTGGGAAAGATTGAGGACAGGAGGAGAAGGGGACGACAGAGGATGAGATGGTTGGAAGGCATCACTGACACAATGGACATGGGTTTGGGTGGACTCCGGGAGTTGGTGATGGACAGGGAGGCCTGGTGTGCTGTGGTTCACGGGGTTGCAAAGAGTCGGACACGACTGAGCGACGGAACTGAATTGAAATAGCATGTAATATGTGATACTGTGTGAGTACAGGGTCAGGGGACTCAGATTGCACCACTTGAGCTGACATGATGAATGAGTAGGAATTTGCAGACAAGTATGCATGCATGGCATTATATATAAGAGATGTTTGGCATTCAAGAAAGGGAAACTTGTGAGAAGATGAAGGTGCAGTATTTGAAACATATTGTAATTAAAAGTTATTCACTGTTTATGTGAAGTTCAAATTAACTGGACATACTGTGTGTTATCTGGCAACACTACTGGCCACTTGTCAACTCCCCCCATATATATACAACCGTACTTCTTCCTCCCTTTGTGTCTCTATGAAGAGGTATTCCTCGCCCTCCTCAGTATGCAGGCTTCATGCACATTTTATATCAAACCCTCTCCTGGCTCCTGAATGACTTCATGCCATCAATTATCACCTTCATCCTAATCTCTACGGTGACTCAAATTTCCCACTTTTCCCTTGAAACCGTTTTCACTGCTAATGTTTTAGTTTAGGCCCTATTTATTCTTCTCCAAAACTAGTGTAGTTCAGTTCAGTCCCTCAGTCGTTTCCGAATCTTTGCGACCCCATAGACTGCAACACGCCAGGTTTCCCAACTTGCTCAAACTCATGTCCATCGAGTCGGTGATGCCATCCAACCATCTCATCCTCTGTTGTCCCCTTCTCCTCCTGTCTTCAATCTTTCCCAGATTCAGGGTCTTTTCCAATGAGTCAGATCTTCGCATCAGATGGCCAAAGTATTGGACCTTCAGCATCAGTCCTTCCAAAGAATATTCAGGTCTGATCTCCTTTAGGATTGACTGGCTTGATCTCCTTGCTGTCCAAGGGACTCTCAAGAGTCCTCCAACACCACAGTTCAAAAGCATCAATTTTTTAGCACTCAGCTTTCTTTATGGTCCAACTCTCACATCCATACGTGGCTTCTGGGAAAACCATAGCTTTGACTAGATAGACCTTTGTCAGCAAAGTAATGTCTCTAATTTTTAATATGCTGTCTAGGTTGGTCATAACTTCTCTGCTAGGAAGCACATGTCTTTTAATTTCATGGCTGCAGTCACCGTCTGCAGTGATTTTGGAGCCCAAGAAAACAGTCACTGTTTTCCGTTGTTTCCCCATCTATTGCCATGAAGTGATGGGACCAAATGCCATGATCTTAGTTTTTTGAACGTTGAGTTTTAAGTCAGCTTTTTCATTCTCCTCTTTCACTCTCAGCAAGAGGCTCTTATATTTTAAATATAGCAGTGCATACTTGTCTGTCCCAAACTCACAATCTATCCTTCCACCGCACCTTTCCCCACTGGGAACCATAAGTTCATTCTCTTAAGTTTGTGAGTCTGTTTCTGTTTTGTAAATAAGTGCATTTGTATCATTTTATTAGATTCCACATATGATTGATATCATATGATATTTGTCTTTCTCTGACTTACTTCATTTAGTATGAGAGTCTCCAGGTCCAATCATGTTGCTGCAAATTGTATTATCTCATTCTTTTCAATGGCTGAGTCATATTCCACTGTATACACATACCACCTCTCCTATATTATCTGGACTTCCCTGATAGCTCAGTTGGTAAAGAATCCATGTGCAATGCAGGAGACCCAGGTTCAATTCCTGGGTCAGGAAGATCCACTGGAGAAGGAATAAGCTACTCACTCCAGTATTCTTGGGCTTCCCTTGTGGCTTAGCTGGTAAAGAATCTGCCCTCAATGCAGGAGACCTGGGTTCAATCATTGGGTTGGGAAGATTCTCCTGGAGAAGGGAAAGGCTATCTACTCAAGTACTCTGGCCTAGAGAATTCCATGGACTGTATATTCCATGGGATCACAGAGTTGGACATGACTGAGTGACTTTCACTCTCTCCTTTATCTAGTCCACTGTCCATGGACATTTAGATTGCTTCTATGTCTTTGCTATTTTTTTTAATTAATTTATTTTTAGTTGAAGGATAATTGCTTTACAGTATTGTGTTCATTTCTACCAAACATCAACATGAATTAGACATAGGCATATACCCATGTCCCCTCCCACCTGAAAACATGTCCTGGCTATTGTATGCTGCAGTGAACATTGGGGCACATATGTCTTTATGAATTATGATTTTCTCCAGATGTGCCCAGGAGTGGGATTGCTGGATCATGTGGTAGCTGTATTTTTAATTTCTTGAGGAAGTGTCATACTGTTCTCCATGGTGGCTGAAACAATTTTCATTACCAAACTGTGTAGAAGGATTCCCATTTCTACACACCTTCTCTAGCATTGTTTGCAGGCTTTTTGTTGATGGTCCTTCTGACTAGTGGAAGGTGTTGTCTTGTTGCAGTTTTGATTTGCATTTCTCTAATAATTAACAATATTGAGCATATTTTCATGTGTCTTCGCCATCTGTATCTCATTTGGTTAAATATCTGTTTAGGTCTTCTGTCCATCTTTTGATTTAGTTTTTTTTGTTTGTTTGTTTTTAATTGAGCTGCGTGCGTTGCTTGTAAATTTTGGAGGTTAATCACTTGGTCTCTTTGCAAATATTTGCTCACATTCTGCAGGTTGTCTTTTGGTTTTGTTTATGGTTTCCTTTGCTCTGTAAAAGTTTTTGAGTTTAATTAGGTCTTGCTTGTTTATTTTTGTTTTTACTTTCATTACTCTAGGAGACAAATAAAAAAAGATGCTACTGAAATTTATGTCAAAGAATATTCGTCCTACATTCTAAGAGTTTTATAGTATCCAATCGTACATTTAGGTCTTTAATCCATTTTGAATTTATTTTTTTTATGGTGTCAAAGAATGCTCTAATTTCATTTTTTTACACATAGCTCTCCTATTTTTCTGACACCACCTATTGAAGATACTGTCTTTTCTCCATTGTATATTCTTGCCACCTTTGTTGCAGATTAGATGACCATAGGTGTGTGGGTTTATTTCTGGACTTTTGTACCCTGTTCTGTCGATGGATGTTTCTGTTCTTGTGACTGTAGC